GAGCGGGGCAGGGGCTGTGGGGTCTGGGTGGGGCACCGACAGTGGGGGACCCCACAGCTGCCAGTCCCTGGGGCAGGAGTCCAGGCCGCGGGCCCATCTCCTGCCCCTTCCTCCCTCGGGGCATCCTTGCCATTTCCACCGTGACCCCCCCACAAGGCTGGGGGATCAGTTCTCCCTCCTCTGCCTGGACAGACGGACAGATGGCTGGAGATGTGGTTATTGGTCCAGCCTGAGCTGGGCCCCTTCAGACCCTCACCTCCTCCCAACCTTCCGGCTCTTCCCTTCACAGTGGACGAGGTGCGCAGCCCGGGCTGCAGAGCGGACAGCTGTGTGCATGGTGGGTGGGCGCCCCACGGTCGGCGGGAGCTGGGTCACTGCGTGCGGGACAGCCACCGGGGGGCCTGCCCCTCCCAGCGCCGCGCTCGCCCGGTCTCCTGCCTGCTCTAAGCCACGCGGCACGCGCAGGCCCCACGTGAAGCCCGGCACCCGGAAGCAGCAGGTCTGACCACCGTGGGCCAGCATGGAGGGCTCGGGGAGGGCTGGCACTCTGGGAAGCAGGAGAGGCCGGGCCAGTGGCTGCCCTGTTCTGGGTGGGGGCCCAGCTCCCCCACACTCCCTGCGACCCATCTGGGGACCTTGTCGGCCTGGGTTCTGCCTGGTCAGAGTCCGGGCTCCTGGGCAGCCCAGGGTGGTGTAGGGGGGCACTCTGGGCTTCCCGTGTCAGGCGCAGGCCAGCAGAGACCCTCAGGGATGAAGGTGCTGGTCACCTCGCACCAACCCAGACAGATCAAGCTGCCGGCTGAGGCTGACTGGGCTCCAGGCAGAGCATGTGGCCTTCGCAGAGGGCACAGCACGGGTCCCCCAGACCAGGGAGGGGCCGCCCCCTCTCCTGGAGCCTATGTGTCTGGCCACAGGTCCATGCCTGTCCATGGACTGCCCTGGTGTGGCAGGTCGTGGAGACTCTCAGAGATGGGCCACACGAGGGCGGGGAGCCCCATGTGAGGTGGCAGCCGGGCCGGGGCCCCCTCGCGCTGGCTGGCCCGCTGCCTGCTGTGGCCGGGGCAGGGACAGCTGTCCAGCTGAGGCCTAGGGTCAGGCAGCCAGCAGAACGGCAGGGCTGGTGGCCCAGCTCAGACCCCGCAGCAGGGGGGAGACCCTCTGCTGACCCTTTGAGCTGGAGGGGAGGGGCTGGGCCCCAGACAAGTGGGCGTTGGAGACCTTAGAGCCGTTGTCCCCGTCTAAGCTGTAAGCCGGGGCGCCCTCAGGGTGAAGGGAGGCACCTGACGTGAGGGCAGCGAAGGGGGAGGCGTGGACTGGGGCGGGGTGGGCCTGGCCTCACCTGGGACTGGGGGAGTGTCCCTGGTGGGATGGGCTTCCCGGCCTGAGGCCGTTCCCCAAGGAAGTACCTGCCCCCTGTCGTGGGCACCCCCCCAGAGTGTGCCTGGCACACAGTGGCTGCCTCATTCTAAGCAGGGAGGGCACTGGGCCCTGCTGTCACTGAGCCCAGAAAGGGGGTGTGGTGGGAGATGGGACCCCTGAGCAGCGGGGACTGGACAACAGTGACCCGTCCAGACCTGGTGCAGCACCACACTCCCTACCAGAGCCGTAGTTAGCATCGTGGGTCCCGAGCGCCAGGCAGTGCCCTTGGCCTAGGACAAGCGTGGCGCTGGTGGCTCCTGCCTGTGCTCCCCCGTGGGCCTGCGGGGGATGCCCCACACCCTGCGGCCAGCTCCTCCCAGCACCCCTGCCGGCCTCTCACCTCCCGGGGCTCCCACTGAGATAGCCACGACCTGGGACCCCTTCCAGGCCCAGAACCTGGCCGACTGTCCCCCGCAGATGGAAGCCTCCAGAGGCTGTCCTGCAGCCCAGGGGGGCAGCTTCGGGGTCAGGAGGGGACCACCAGGCAGCCGGGGCCGGGGTGCCTCCGACTCGGAAAGGGCCAGGCCTGCAGCCGGGGAGCTGCGAGCTCTTCACCGCCTGCGAGACCTGCACAGGGGGCTGGGCCGGCCATCGAGGCCTGCAGGCCACAGACGCCGGGACGGAGCCCGTGTGGGTTAAGTTGCTGGACTCGGGGCAGTCTGTCCCAACAGGAGTGCCGACACGCTGCGTGGCCGGCCGGTGGGTTACCACGTGGCTTATTTCTGCCCTCAACGCACTCGCGCTCTGCCAGCCCCGCATAGATGCCGGGACCGTGTCGTGTTCCTGCACCTGGGCTATGGCCGTGGGCTGTCCATGGACGGCTGGCGAGGCCCCCTCAAAAATGCCAGGCACCCGCCCCCTGCTGCTGTCGGGCCTAGCCATGTGCTGCGGGGCAGCCCGGGGAGCCCACGGGAGCGACCGCGTGCAGGCTGTGCCCAGACCCAGCTCGGCCGGGGCCCCAAGACACTCCCAGTGGCTCCGGCCACCCCTGCCCCACTGCCCCTGTCTCCAGGAACTCCCAGCTGTGGGGCTCAGCCTGGGACACACCCACCCAGCACGGACCCCAGGTGCGGAATGAGAAGCCACGTTCCATCCTCCCACTGCCACCAACTCGCTTTCCACCACAGGTCTGTCTCTGGGCCACCTTCCCAGAGGATGACACCAAGGCCGTGCACCAGGAACTCTAAAGATTTGTGGGGCGCGTGTAATGGCGAGCCAGGGGGTGGGCCGCGCGGACTCCTGCTGGGGCAGGCGAGGCCTGGCATGCAGGTGTGGCATGGGAACGCACACTTCCCGGGGCAGCGCGGAACCAGGATGCTCGTCTTCTGGGCACAGATGGGCTGTCGAGGGGGCCGAGGGGACAGCGCTGCTCTGGCTGTGAGGGCCCGCGGCACGCCCGTCCGCTTTTCCTGCGGCCAATAGGGTGAGCCCCGGGCCCCACGGCCTCTGCTCCCCAGCCCTGGCTGAGCAGGAAGGAGCCCAGAAAGGCCAGCACCTTCCCTGGGCTCAAGAACCCGCGGGCAGTGACCCTGGTGCCCTTTCCCACCGGCCCGACCACGACTGGCAGGAGGAGAGCTGGCGGAGGCCGCAGGGGCGATGGGGACCCGACAGGGAGGGCAGCAAGGCGGGCAGCCCTCTCAGGTTCCCTCCCTCTCTGGGAACTTCAGACTGTCGCTCAATAAACTTGGCTTTGCTCTCACTCAATAACCCTTGCTTTGCTGCGCTCCCAAATCCCAGCAAGAAGCTGAGGGCTGGGGGCCTCCCCTGGGGGCCCCTGCTTCTGAGACTCCCGAGCGGCCGAGAGCTGAGGCAAGCCTGCTGGCTAGTCTGACTCCAAGGCCAGTGTCTGAGCCGGTCGGGGACACAGGTGCCCTGCTTTCCCTAGGCCGCCCCTTCTCCGGGCAGTGAATGAAGGCGTGGGCGCGGGGACAAAGTGCTGTGTGCCCGGTGAGCGTGTGAGGGAGGGCAGGGCCCAGCATCCTCGAACAGCACATCTGGGAGCCGGATGTAGGGGAACCTGTCCCCACTTTAGCTAGACTTGGTGGTGGCTGAGTGTGACCTCCGTCTGAACGCGGCGTGGGGGTCAAACCCTGCAGGGCAACTGGCAACCCACGTAGCCTGGAGCCCAAGCGTGGCCAGGGCCTTGCTTCTGCCTCTGGCTGAGCTGTCCTGGCAAGGGCAGGAGGGTCCTGGTGGTGGGCCTGACCCTGCCTGCCCAGCACAGCCCTACGGGGAGGGTTGTGGGGGCGAGGAGGCAGGCGACAGTGCGGGCTGGGCCACCCCATGACATCTTAGGAAGTGAGGTTTTGGTCCCACTTGTATGAATTTTTGTTATAATAATGGCATTTATGCCCAGAACAAGACAAAAACAAACTGCCCTAGTGACTTCCTGCCCAGGTTCTTCCAGAATTTTCTTTCCATGCACGGATGGTTATATATAAGATTGAATTTGTTACCCGAAGTCCTAGAACAGCATTATGGAAAATCCGGGGGTCCCCAAGCACTCCTGTGATGCCGACGCGAGGCTCGGCGCCTCCTGGCTCCGCCCACCCCGGAGGGGTCGTGTCCCCTGCTCCGCGAGCGCGCCCCGCTGCACAGCCGTGCGCGCCCAGTGTCCACCCCGCCCGGCCCCCCCGCCGCTGGCCCGCGTCCCCCCCCACCTGCGCCCCGCGGTGCAGCCGCCGACCGAGGTGCCAGCAACTTTGTTGACTAAATTCCTGAACCCGCCCGGACCGCGCGGCTAAAAATAACCGGCACTCCCCGAGCCGCGCCCGCCTGAGCCGCGCCGTGGCCCCAGTGTCCGCAGGCCGGAAGGTCCCGGCGCCGTCACGCTCGCGGGGCTGCGGGGTCACGGCGCGCGGGGCGGCGGGGACAGTGAGGCACCGAGCGGCCCCGTCGGCTCCCCGAGACTCCCCGGCCTCCCCGTCGCGGGCGCGAGCCCTGGGGGCATCAGGCGGAGCTCCGTGCCCCCTGCGCGGCGCCTTCTCCGCACCCCTCGGCCCCGCGCCCTCTGCGCGTGCAGTCCCCCGCGGCGGCCACCAGAGGGCCCTGCCCACTCCTCTGCCGGTCATCACCCCTTCCCACAGCTGTTCCCCGCAGGAGATTGACAGCTGGGCTCCGGGTTGCCATGGGGATAGGCAAATGAGGGCGGTGGGTCTGGGGCTCCGATTGGCCTGAGGGCTCGCGCCCCTCCCAGGAAGGCGGGCCCGAGCGCCCTGCTCTATAAAGGGGAGCGCGCGGCGCGGCGCTCGGGCGTGGAGGCGGGGCGGGCCGGACGCGGGCGGAGCGTGGGGAGCGCGAGCGGCCCGAGGCGGCGGCCTCCCTGCCACCCGCCCGGCCACCCGCCTGGCCGCAGACGCGGGGACAGGGAGCGGGGCCGGCCTGCGCCCCCCGGGGTGCGGCCGGGGCCGCCGGAGAAGCCCGAGCGGCGGCGTCCCCGCGGTCGCCCTCAAGTTGGCCGCGCGAAACTTTTCCCTGCGCGTCTGGGCGCCGCCCCCGCCGAGACCCGCCGCGGGTGGGGAGTGAAGGGGGGGGGGAGGCCCGCGGCCCCCCCCCCCGCCGCCGCCGCCTCCCGTCGAGGCGCAGCCGGGCGCGACAGCGGGGCCGGGGCCCCTGGGCGATGGCCGCGGAGCTGGCGATGGGCGCCGAACTGCCCAGCAGCCCGCTGGCCATCGAGTACGTCAACGACTTCGACCTGATGAAGTTCGAGGTGAAGAAGGAGCCGCCCGAGGCCGAGCGCTTCTGCCACCGCCTGCCGCCCGGCTCGCTGTCCTCGACGCCGCTCAGCACGCCCTGCTCCTCCGTGCCCTCCTCGCCCAGCTTCTGCGCGCCCAGCCCGGGCACCGGCGGCGGAGGCGGCGCGGGGGGCGGCAGCGGCGCGGCGCAGGCCGGGGCCACCGCGGGGCCGACGGGCGGGGGCCCGGGCGCCGTCGGGGGCGCCTCGGGGAAGCCGGCGCTGGAGGATCTGTACTGGATGAGCGGCTACCAGCACCACCTGAACCCCGAGGCGCTCAACCTGACGCCCGAGGACGCGGTGGAGGCGCTCATCGGCAGCGGCCACCACGCGGGGCACCACGGCGCGCACCACCCGGCGGCCGCCGCGGCCTACGAGGCTTTCCGGGGCCAGGGCTTTGGGGGCGGCGGCGGCGCGGACGACATGGGCACCGGCCACCACCACGGCGCGCACCACGCCGCCCACCACCACCACCACCACCACCACGCGGGCGCGGGCCACCACGGCGGCGGCGGCGGCGGCGCGGGCCACCACGTGCGCCTGGAGGAGCGCTTCTCCGACGACCAGCTGGTGTCCATGTCGGTGCGCGAGCTGAACCGGCAGCTCCGCGGCTTCAGCAAGGAGGAGGTCATCCGGCTGAAGCAGAAGCGGCGCACGCTCAAAAACCGCGGCTACGCGCAGTCGTGCCGCTTCAAGCGCGTGCAGCAGCGGCACATTCTGGAGAGCGAGAAGTGCCAGCTCCAGAGCCAGGTGGAGCAGCTGAAGCTGGAGGTGGGGCGCCTGGCCAAGGAGCGGGACCTGTACAAGGAGAAATACGAGAAGCTGGCGGGCCGGGGCGGCCCCGGGGGCGCGGGCGGGGCCGGCTTCCCGCGGGAGTCCTCGCCGCCGCAGGCCGGGCCCGGCGGGGCCAAGGGCGCACCCGACTTCTTCCTGTGACCGCCCGGGCCGAGCGCGCGCCGCCCCGCCACGGGCCGGAGGCGCGGGCCGCGCGGGCCGCCGGCGCCGGACTGGAGGCCCCTGCCCGCCGGGCGCCCCGCGCCCTCCCGGCCCGCGGTCCGGGACGGGGCCGCGCCCCCTCCGCGCACGGAGCGCGGGCCTTCCCGGCCAAGCGGGGCCGGAGCCGGCTTCCTCCCCGGCGTCCGCCTGCCCGGCCTTCGCGCGCGGCTCCCCGGCCCCGACGCCGCCGCGGGCCGGCCTTCTCGCGGCCTCCCCTTCCTTGCCCGTTTCTACGACTCCTTTTTAAAGCGACTTTATTTTCGAAGCATTTCTGTTTCTTTTGCTCGGTGATTAGTTAAGAAAACCCCGGAGGAAGTTCCCTCGTTCCCGGCCGGGGTCCACTCTCGGACGTCCGCGTGTCCCAGCATGTGTCGCTCGCTCGCTCGGAGGGGTCCGGTCCCTGCCTGCCCGCCTGCCCGCCTGCCCCCCGCCCTGCCGCCGGCGTCCCTAGAGATTGAAGCCGAGGGATATTATCTATGCCGTGTTCAGTCCTGCTGCCCTGCTGTACTCACGGGGGGAGGGGGGTGGGGATGGGGCTGGGGGTCGCCGCGCTCTGAGGGTGGGGGCTGGCCCGGACTCCCCTGCTATTTCTCTATGCACCAGATCGTATTTATGAGTCCCGGGGAAATATATCTTATTTTAACCTTCAAGAGAAGTGGAAGAAAAAAAAAAGTAATGCACAGTATTTCTAGCAAAAAAAAAAAAATTTTTTTTTTTTAAAGAGGAGGTTTCAGACTGAACCTCCTGGCATGGGGGCAAGTGAAGAAAGTGTTTTTATTTTAATTTAAATTGTGTTTCGTTTTGTTTGTGCAATCTTAAAAAAAAAAAAAAAGCCCAGTGGCGCTTTGGACTAGCCAGTGGGGAGGAGGAAGCCGCCACTGGCCGGGGTCCCTGCAGACCCGTCAGGCCTCTGGCCTCCAGTGGGTCCTGTGCTCCTTCCAGGCCTGCTCCTGCCCAGTGCTCTGAGTGGGAGACACTCTAAGTCGTTGAAAGTTTTCTTGTGTTGTTGCGTTTTGTTGGATAATTTTTTCATTTGCTATGAAGCCGAGGAAAGGGGGAAAAACACACACACACAAAATAAATCCGTTTAGATCCAAAGTCACTGGAGCCTGGTTGGTTTTTCTGTGGCTTTCATTTTTGCCGTTTCTCCCCAGATAGAAAGAAAAGGAGGCCCGTGAGCAAGGCCCTGCCTTAGCTCTGGGTGACCCGCCTGGGCCACCAGAGAGATTCTGACCAGAGTTGTAAACAAGGCTGCGGCCCGCTGGTGGGACCTACAGGCACCTTCCCCCGGTTGCCCGGTGGGAGGAAGGCCTCAGGGTGGTGGCCCCCGGCTCCCTCTAAGGGGCGGTGGCCGGTACTTGTCCCCATGCTTTCTGAGCCCACAGTACCGCCACCCCCCACAAGGGGTGGCCTGGCCTCCGTCTTCTGAAGGGCAGAGGCTGGGCTGCGGGTCGCCGGGGAGGAGCAGGACCTCTAGAAGTCTCTCACCCTAAAGGGTCCGTGGCAGTTGCAGGACTTAGGGGACTTGTCACCTCTTCACCAAGGGACATAGGACGGTGAAGGTCCACTGTGTGCACGTTTACTGAGCTGGGCTGCACGGGTCGCCGGCACGTTTCCATCTGGAGACAGTGAAAGCTCGTCCTCGGTGCTAGGACGGCGGCCGGTCTCTGTGGGCGCCGGCCCGAGCTGGGCTTGCTGTCCCCGTCTGACCCAGAGAAGAGGGGACAGCGGCCGCCTCCCCTTTGGCTTTAGAATAAAACTGGTATCAAGACTGTGGGGTCTCTGGGGCTTTCAGCAAAATTCCCGGACCCGGGGGCTGAGATTTTGAGCCCCCGGGGCGGGGAGAGCAAGAGGCTGCACATCTGGGGGGCACAAACGCTGGTGCTGAGAGAGGTAGAAATGGGGGGAGGCAGGGATGAGCTCAAGCACCAGGTGGGGGGCCAGCGGCTTGATGGGGGGCAGCCAGCTCAGCAGGTCCCAGCCAGCCTCAGGAAGGGGACCCCAGGACTCGGGATCCCCGGAGGCCCGTGTCCTTTCGGGCCTGGGCGGAGTCTGCTGGCCAGCGTTGGACGAGGACCCCTTAGTTTTCACTGTTGCCACCAGAAGACCCACCTGGGAATCTTCCTCCTGGCGGAGAACGCAGGCACTGGGCGCATCGAGGACCGAGGCCGGCCAGGGTCGCTGGGCCCCACGGCTGGCCCTATGAGGAGCCAGTGGCAGGCAGGGAGCTGCGCTCAGGCCCGCCAGGCCTCCTGGAGCCCTGCGTGCCCGAGCCTGGGTTGGGCTCTGGAGCCCCGGAAGGAGGGTCCCCACAACGGCCACCCCTGGCCCGCAGCCCGCGGTGGGCTTCTCCGCAGCCGGGCTTCGTGTCCCCGTCCTGTTCTAGCGTCTCTGCTTCCTCCCCCCCCCACCTCTCTTTTTCCTTCCTACCTCCCCCACCCGAACCCCGCCCTTCTCTTGCCCAGGAGAGGAGCCCGGAGGCTGGGAGTCATTGCGGGAGGGCGGGGCGGGGGAGATTTTTGTGTTTAGAGGCAGATCTTTTTGTGGGGAAACACCTCTGGCCTCTGCTCTCCGCGCACCGGCTGAGCCCCGGCCCCCAACTCACAGTCCAACTCACAGTCCGAGGGCTCTGCGGGGCCCTCCCCTGGCCGCCCCCCCCGCCCCCGCCGCCGCCGGAGCCTCTGCTCGCCCAGCACAGCCCCCAGCAGGCCGGCCCCCCTGGGGAGGGGCCGGCCCCGGGGGTAAGGAGGGGGTTCTGTCTGCCGCCAGGAGAGAGGGTCCTCCGGGAGTCCATGTGTCTGTGAGTGCAAAGCGGCCCGCAGGGACGGTGTGGGGGGCCGTGGGGGCACCCCCGCCTCAGCCCCTCGGCTCCCACGGCCCAGGCTCTGACTTCCCAGCGGAGGCGCCGGGATGCTTCTTTCTGAGGGGTCCAGCCCGCCCTCCTGTCTCAGCGCCCCTCACCCCGCAGGCGTCCACTCATTCTTCGGTCACTTCTTTCATTCTGAGAGTCCCTCCTCTGTGCCCGGTGGCAGGGACCCCAGCAGGGACCAAGATGAGCGCCCTGGCTCAGAGCCCTGAGGGAGATGGCAGGTTGGACTGCTGAGTGCAGGGGGAGGAGGTAGGGGTCGTGGTTCTCCTGCTGCAGGGCGGGCAACCTGGTGGGGCGGGGGGCAGGAGGACTCCTGTGGGGGGCCGCAGACCAGGAACTGTGAAGGGGCTGTGCCGTGGGGGGACCTCACACATGTGCTTGACGTGTGCACCCCAACCCGAACACAGATGTGCACACTGAAGCCGCGTGCACTGGACATGCCCCCCACACACTCGGGCCCTGCCTGGCCACCCCCGCACAGCAGCTGTCCCTGGCCGGAGGCCACTGTCCCACGCCAGCGCCTACCACAGCTGTACTCGCTACAACTCCTAGAGGCTGGGCTGTAGCCTCCCCAGCTCCTAGTGGAGGCCTGGGAGCCCCCTCCGGGCACCCCTGTACCCCATCCCACCCCAGCTATCCCTCTGCCCTGCAGCCTCTGGGGCCAACGTCCCTCCAGGCCCCCGAGCCCCACACAGAACCCACAGCCTAGCTTTGTCCTCCTCGCCTGCCAGGCTCCCTACAGCCCAGACAGGCACACACCCCGCCCAGCCCAGCTGCCCCTCGTCCCCCAGCTGGTTAGGGGTTCCAGGAATCCAGCTCCCAGCTGCTGGCCCTAGATGGCCCGCAGGGCTGCTGCGCGCGGGGACACCACACTTCTGTCTGCAGCCCAGCGTCTCCAGGCCACTCCAGCCCAGTCTCCTGGGGCCCGTGCCTGTCCAAAGGCCCCCCCCACCCTGGTTTCCTATTTATAGCCAGCTCCTAGGGTGGCCAAGCACAAGGCCAAGGTGTCCTCTTCCCAGCTTCCCCCTCGAGGAGAGGCACGCGCAGGACCGCAGGCACAGGTCTGGGCGACAGGAACAGACAGGCGTGTGCGTGCAGACACGGCCACGTGCATAGGCTGAGATGTGCAAACCACAGCCCCCGACCCCCTCCACAGGTGCGCACACACGCGGGTATGCACACGTGAGAGCGCACAGATGCGCACACATGGGCCAGTGCACACGCCTGCAACCACACACACGGACCCCGTGGGTTTTGTCTGTCCCGGTCCCTGCACCTCCCGTCCCGGCCATGTGGCCTCGACGCCGGCCACCGCAGGGCAGTGTTGCCCTCAGTCACCCACTTCTGTGTGACCCCAGGAGCCCGCAGCCCCCACCACCTGCCCTGGACTCCTGACCTCGTCAGCCCCAGCCGGGCCCCTCGGTGCCAGCAGGAGGCCCAGAGGCCTTGCTCTTCAGCACGTGGCTCCGGGCAGGGCCTTCTCCAGGCCCACCCACCCCTCAGGAAGCCCAGCCTCTGCCTCAGGTGGGCCCTTTACCTGCTGCGCTGGGTTGGAGGCCCTGTGCCCGGGGGGCTTCCCCAGGTGGGTCCTGGGAGCAGCCTGGGTGGGGCCCGGAAGGGCTCAGCGACCCGCCGGCAGACAGGGGCCCCAGGCTGGGCGACCCCCCTGTCTACCGGACAGGACCCCAAACCTGGGGCTGATGGCCCCTTCTGGGTCCCAGGGAGGGTCGAACCACCCGTCTGTGGCCACGCTTGGGACTGCCTGGCCCAGGGTCTGGGGCCTTGGGGCAGCGTGAGCCACAAGAAGTAGCCAGCCTGTCCCCAGACCCCCGCGGAGCCTGGGAGGCCTCCTCGCTAGCTGTCCTGGGAAGCAAGCCGGTGGGAGCTCTGAGCCAGCCCCAGAGGTGAGCAGCTGGGCTGTCCCTCGCACTTGAGGGGACAGGGACAGCGCCCCCCCCCCCCCCCCCCCCCGCGCGCGCCCCCCCCCCCCCCCCCCCCCCCCCCCGCTCTGGCTGCAAGACCAGCCCCTGCCGTCACTTCCTGGGCCTGCGGCTTATTCAGCAGTCCCTGA